AATTTAGCCCGTGTGTAGCTTTACGCTCAATATATGGAGTCTTCGTATGCAATTCCTTCAAGCATGTAGAAAAAAAAATGTTTTCTTAATAATAGACTGCTGCCAGGGAATTGGTATTAGGATTTTTTTCATTCTAATTGAAGACTAGACAATATAATTAATGTAGCAAGCTATAGCAAAATTTCCCTTTAACCCTTTCTCCTCCACTTCCTCGATACAACAATAACATACCCAATATAATCCCAAAAGTGAGGTCTCCTTCCCCGATGTAATAAAAAATAAAATTTAAAAAACAAAAATAACATCATAGCGAAATTCCCACTTTCTTAAAAAAAAAAAAATTGAAGAGGGTCACAATTAAAAATGTAATGACTAATTTAGATCCACATGCTTTCTGATTACTGTAACTAGGCATACATATTCCCAATAAATTATGTAAAAACAAATAATTTTATATAGGCGTCAGAATGTGAGATTAGTCTTATAGAGACTTTTTTATTCTTATTCACTCTTGTAGGGTTTGTAGTCGAGGTTTAGTCCTAATTTTCATTTCATAAACAAAAGTGTTATATTCTAACCCCTAAATTTAACGATATGGTGAAAATTTCGAAAGAGAAAAAAAAGTTTTTTTTATTAAAAAAAAAAAAGCTTTTTTCGTTCTACTATTTCTTGGGGTCTGGGTTTTTCTTTTGTAACAACTCATCATTAAATAAATGGGTTGAACCAAGTTAATATCTATCTGAGTACTATTATTATCTCTCTCTTCACTTTTAAAAGCTTTTTCATTTTTTTTATTTAAGACATATCATCTGATTTTTTTCAAAAGAATAGCCAGCTGATGGTCTTTTCATTATTGGACAACTATAGAAAAATAAGGGATTGGCCTTTTTTGTGACAAGAAAACAAGAATCCCGGTCATGAGACAGCAACCGAAATAGATGAAAATAATAGGAATAGTTACCTTCTATAGCTAAGGTTGATACCTTATTTATTTTAAATAAATACCATTTGAAAAAATTATATTTTATAACTACCTTTTGATTTTTATAGCCAAATACCTATTTATGGTCACCTCCTACCCTTAAGCCATAAAATACGCTGCCCTCTCTCTCATAAAATACGCTGCCTCTCTGGCTTGACCCTAATGAAGGCAACGAAATCTCCATGGCCAACTCCAGTATGTTTCTTCTTCTTCTTCCTTTCCGATTTTGATTGTTTTCTTCTGCCAATATGTTTCTTCTTCTTCTTCCTTTCCATGGCAAGGAATTTTTTGAGACTTTAACTTCTTGGCAATTTCTTCTTCAGTGGGTGCTAGCAATTTCTTCCGGTTCGTTACCAGCGAGTGCTAGCCAAATTCAATTCTGGGACTTTAACTTCTTCAGATGCGTTACGAATGCTAGCAATATCTTCTTCAGCGATCTTTCTCGTTTTCTTCTTCTTTCTCTCATCGCTGATTATGGAATCATGGTCGGAATCCGATGGGTCGTCAGAAAATCGTCGACTAAAATAGGTCGTTTGAAGTTTGGGGTTGAGCAATTTGAAGATTCTGTTAACTTTTTTTTAAGAGCATTTCAATGTATCTCGTTGTATTCCATGTATTTCATTGTATTTAGTGTCTTTTTTTCTTATTGTATTTCAATGTATCCCGCTGTATTCTGTGTATTTCATTGTATTCACTGTCTCGCTATATGCCATGAATGTATTCATATGTTTTTTTTAATTAATATAATTTATGTATTCAGATGTATTATATAATTTCTCTGAAGATTGCTATGTTTTGGGGTATTTTTCGGTTGAGAATCTTTTTTATAACTGAAAAATACAAAATTTGTGTGTTATAATTGAGTTTGTTGAGTTATATTAGGAGTCTATTATGTTAATTGATTCACTTTCCGTTTTAAAAACAGTTTAATCCCCTATTTCTCGCCATGAATACAGCCGAATACAATAATCTGTCCAGCTGTAATCCCATGTTTCACTCCATGAATACAGTCGAATACATTCGAATACAACAACTGATTAGCTAGACTTCCCTGATTCACGCCTATTTTTGCTACTGTATTCAAGAATACAATAGCTTAAATACATCAAATACATTTTATAACCACAGAAAAGGTATCTATAATCCGTAATATAGCAAATGGTATCTATAGATGGCTAATTACTACTAAAAGATGGTGCTTTATGAAAATTTCTCAAAATAATATACACCAAAGATATTATCTATAAGGAAGTATTTAGTCAGATACACTTCATTACATGTTTGTACCTCATAAGACCCAAATATATAAGAACTCACATGTATCTAATTGAAATCTACGATATCTCATCATCTTGACCTTGACAATAATTTGTCATACGACGGTCCACATGTATAATTATTTACTATAACTTTTGTTTTACTATTAATATTAATTTTTACAAAATTGTGTATTACATGATTCAATATACACGTGCAACGCACGCGGCGAGAAACTAGTAATATATTATAAAAAGGAAAAAGAAGCAGAAAGGGGTCCAATAATTTTAAAACCAACCATAAGGATACTCATTTTTTAACAAACGGAAAGGACCATAAGATACATAGGAGAGAGCATAACAGAATAGAAAGTATGCAAGAAGAAGAAAATAGAAATTGATAAAGCTCAGTCCTTAGATCCCGGATCTTGCCCATCATATTCTCAATTTCTCATCATCAAAACTCAAAGTGAACGGCATATAAATTCATTTCTGGTTCAACTAAATTCATTACTTTTGGCTTGATCTATACAAAAAAGATTTATGCTTGTCTAAATATACATATATAAATTCAACTCATACTGAACCAGTAACTACAATATTAGATCACCTCTAGAATCAAATAGCCTTGTAATATATAATTTGGGATAAAGAACGAATGAACACATGATGGGTAAAACAACAGAACCATCACCAGAGTACCAAAGATAAGTAGGTATCATCACAAAATGATCATCGATCGTCACTAACGGGAGAAGGAGTGTGCAAAGGAGTATGCTTCTACAAGTAACATTCAGAAAACAAATACTCCCACACAATCAAATTAGCATAGCATATGGTAAAAGGAATGTTAAAATTTGGAAGAATTAAGGAGTATTATATTGAGGAGAATTGTTTTTGTGCAATATAAGAGGCAAAAATTAAAAAATTCAACACACTGATGTAGGACTACGAGATACGATTTGCGCGGAGTCGGCTAGAGATATTTTTGTTATTTGTCATGTCAGATCTTTTAGGCTAGTTCCAAAAAGATTAGGCACCACTACGAAATATTAAAAGTGTAAATAATAAACTAATAATCAACAGCAGTAATATAACATACACTTGGCAATAAACTAAAATGTTTTTTGTCTTATCCTCTCAAGTAGGGTGTTCAAAGGAAACCGACAAACCGCACCAATCCGATAATCCGAGTCAAACCGAGAAAAAAAAACCCGACTATGGTTTGGTTTGATTTGGTTTGGTGTTGGAAAAAAAAATCCGACCATAATTGGTTTGGTTTAGTTTTAGCTAAAGAAAGTCAAACCGAAACCAAACCAACCCGACATTACATATATAAAAATTTTAGATATATTTAATATATAAATATACTTTTTGTGATGTAATTTATAAATATTTCTTAAACTTTTTCATAATTTTATCTTCTAAGGTATTATTTCAAGGTTGGATTTAAACTTTTGAATGTTCCAATAAGTTTTATAGCCATTAATATTAGTAACTTAAATAATGCTAAGAAAAGTCAAAACCAAAATCAAATCAATACTAATGCTAACATAAGACATTCAATTCAATACTATGAACGACAATGTATTGAATATCTATTTTTTGTTTTGCAGTAATTTAGATAAAAATGCATAACCTATATTTATTTTTCTTTAGCGTTTAGTCATGTAATTAATACTCCCTTATTAGTCTACTTATTTTAGCATGACTTAGTACTTTTAGATTATGTTTATTTTTATTATGGCTTTCTAATTACATAATTTTATGGTCTTTATTGTTAAATATTTTAGAATAATGCCATGACACATCTCAAATTTTGTATTATTTTCTTGAAAAATACCTGATATAGTTGTATCTTACTAGGATTAAAGAAATATTTTGAGAACAAGTTGTATGTTTTGTGCTACGAAGATTTTACCGGAAAAACCCGAAAAAACCCGAATAACCCGAAAACCCGAGATTGAAAAACCCGAGTTTTGTTGGTTTGGTTTGGTCTTTAGATTTAATAACCCGACACAATTGGTTTGGTTTGATAATTGCAAAATCCGAACCAACCCGACCTATGTACACCCCTACTCTCAAGGGAGTTATTTGGTTCATATGATAATTTGCACAATATAGAATGTAGGAATTATATATGCGAAAAGTAATTCCTAAATTAATGAAAACTGATTTTCCACACACCTTAGTAAAATTATTCATACTTGATGTTTACACCAAGCTAATAAATACACATATATTATGCCAATGTTAAATTTTTTAGTTTGATGTAAATATTTACTAACTTTTGCCAGCATCTCATCCTATTTTTCCCTTTGTGCTCTCTCCCTAGTTTGCAATTTCTAAATTAGTGCAAAGTATAGAATTCTCTAGTGATCAATGAGATTCGCATATACAAAAGCTAGATGGGACGAATATCACCAAAGGATGTGGTGCAGTCGATGGGACGAATACCACCAAAGGATGTGGTGCAGTGGATGGGAATGCTCCTCCCTTAACCAGAGGTCTCGAGTTCGAGCCCTAGGTATGGAAAAATCTTTGGTAGGGAGCGCTTCCCCGAATGGGGCCCTATACGGCGCGAATCCGGATATAGTCGGGCTCCAATGCAGATACCAGACACCGGGTGGGAAACCAAAAAAAGAAAAGATAAATACGAATATCCCCACGCAGCAAAGATGACCAGAAAATAGATCCTCTCATCTAACATGCCTGCAGAAATTTGGTAGGAGGCCAAAAAGTTAGATAGCAACAGCCTGCACTAGTCGCGAAACTGCCGTCTCACGACACTAAACAAAGCTTTCAATCATCCACTACACAGTGGTCCGGAAATATTCTTTTTTGGTATGGTCCAGAAACATTATTACAAAGTTTTTATAATTTAAAAACCGACTTTGACTATTCCTTATGCCATTTTCAATTTTCTTTTTTATTTCTCTGCATAAGTATTACATCCACTAACTTGGCGTGAAGTGCAAATCAGAAGACCTTTATTATTTTGGCTACAACTGCTAGTTCCATAGACAGACTACTAATATACAAATAGACTACGAACCATGTTATGCACTGGCCTGAGTTGAAATGGTTAAATCTTGATCTTGAACATCAACTTGTGACGAAGAGCAACGCAAAAGGGCGAGTTGGCGGGGGTTAGCGCTTGATCCATCCAGCTTGGCATTCGGCTCTGCTTTTTGTAATTCAGGAGTTCTCCGTTCTAGCGGAAGTAGCCTTCACCAATTGTTAGAAGTCCACACTTACCTACCAGAAATGGAACAAACATAAAAACATTATTGAACTGCATTTTCTGATTAATCAGAGTATGAATGCCAGTCTAGTTTTGTTTGGCATCCCATGATATGATACCAAATCATTAGAACCTGCTGGCCAGTGCAATCACACAGATCTAACACCCATTTCACAATGTCTGGCAATAAGTAAAGACACTAAAAAAACAGAAAGAGAGATCAAAAAACAAAGAAACAGTTTTTTCTGCTGGAAATATAATAAACCTAAGCTGCACTAGTTAATAGTTATATTAAGATTCAAAGGGGCTTTGAAGGTTTTTAGGAGATAATAGCAGTTTACCACTACATATAGCTGTGAAATCGCCAGCCAACAGAGAGGTGTTTTGGTTCTACTTCTCGCTCTTTCCATTTACCCCTTCTCTTGTTATATTTTTTTTTTAATTCTTCTTTATTTGGTACATTAAAAATATTTCATGGCACTGCATGTTCATTGATGATTATATATGCAAGTATCACACCAATAGTAAGAAACCAATGTGCCAGAAGAGTCGATTGCATCATCAACAGACAATAATTAAGTGTTTATTCAAAGTACATAACTAGATGCGTCATCAGTTAATTGGCCTATTATTAGTATATAAAAAGCCATAAGTGGACAAATTCAGGCAACCAGTTGCCAAATATAAATTTTGTAATTACATCTTTCAGTACGAACCACTACTAAATATTTAATTAATAAATACCAGCATTATAGTGATGAATGACCTGGCCATAACAAGGAAAAAAAAGTTCCATTCTTTTATATGAGAAAGGTTGGTCAACAATGTTCAATTGGCACTACCAAGAAAAAAATAGTACTATAAAAAGGGAAGGAACCAAACAGGACTATTCACTAATTTTAAAACCAACCATACAGCATAACAGAATACAGCATATGCAAGAAGTCAGCATAAGAATTGACAAAAGATCTGTCCTTAGATCCAGGATATTGCATCATATTCCCGTCAGCAAAAGATAATCCCCTACTTGGTGAAACAATAGGACTATAACTAAAGAACCAAGGATAAATGGGTGCTCAGCCTAATATGAGAGATCATCAAAAACCACTTTTTTTTAATAAGTAAAATGAAATTTCCTTACCTCAGCATCCGGAAATTGCCTCAACAAGTTAGAACATGCTAGTCAAATTGAAAGTATACTCCTATGCATGTATTATGGGTAACTTCCAAATTTCTCCAATTAAATTTTCGCACCGCACAGAAGAAATGTTACACCTACTAAAAGCATAACGGCAGAACATGGTTCTCTCTGAATATCTGATTCCCCATTAGAATAAAAATCAAGCAATTTCTGTCTATTGACACTATCTCCAGTTATGTCAGTGTACTAAGTGCTTGCCTCTAACGGAAACTAATTACCTAGGAAGCAGTCTTACCCGAGATTTTTTGGTTTTTTCCCAGTACCAGTTTAATTCTAGCTAGAGCCAATCTTACCATCAAAGCACAAGTTATCCCACATTTTCTCTAATTACTTTGTTCCGTGTAATATGTGATCTTATTCTCCCTGTAGTCTTAAAATTTGACTATAGATTAAAGCATTCTATACATCATGAAGCATAAAGCAGTTGCCATCTATTGGAACGCAGAAAAGCAGTGCTTCAGGTCTTAGGGGGAAAAAGTCATACTATAGGCTTCAAGGGAAAAGCTTGAGGCAAATTATTCGAACATGGTATATACCTACTTCATCACCAACCATGGAGGAGCAGAGAGCTGGTTTCTGTAAATCTACAATAGTCGTCTTTAGTTAAAAGTTTGAACAGTCATATTCTCCATATACATTGTCCTAAAACATTCACGCAAATAAAACCTATCTGGACAAACTGATTTGAAAGAAAATCAATTCTTTTTCAGAACCCCTTCCAGCAGAAGCTCAGCAGCTATATTTTTGGTTATAAGTAAATAAATAGTTTTATCCTCCAAGTGCAAAAGTAAGAGTTACCTCAATGAAATGTCATTGCCTTAGTTGTTGCCTGCACTCAGACTTGTGGTACCTACACCTATCAAAGGTTAAACGGGCATTGCGTGGCTAGTTTGCAGCTCTCAAAACTAGGTTCTTTTTCCTTTTCATTGGAGAAGATTTAGTGATATTCAAGTATAATCAACTGAAAGGGGAACTCCAGATTGACCAAGAAAACTAGCAGGGAAGCTAAAAGCTCAAGTGAAAAGCTAATGACAAGCAATCATTCAATAAGGTTTAGCATAGGAGGTAACATCCTCAAGAAAACCTTTAAGAGCCTTAATCCCATTTCCAATCGTCAAGGTTCCGCTGGCCTTGATCAGAAACTTTGCAATAGTATTAAGAGAAGGAAAAGATTACAATCCATGAACCCATTTCTATAAGACCAATGCAGACACCAACAACCTAAACAAAGATAAACAAAAAAGCGGTTGATAAACACTTGAACCTTATAATATGTCTGGAATTGTACATGAATTTCCATAGACCCATTTTTTTTTTTTTTTTTTTTGCTTGATATGAATTTCCATAAACCTTTGTCCTCTTTCTTTTCTCATCATCCCGTGAAGTCAATATGTGTTAGGAAAGGATTGAATAACTTTTGAGTAATTAATTAAATATTACCAATTTGCAAAGAATTGCTCGTTATTTATAAATGATTGCTCATCAATCCAACCATTGACAACTGCCTGATAGCTACACCTGCTTCTTGTCCATACTAACTAGAGAAAGTTGCACAAAACAAGAGCATTCAAGCACATACCATCCACAGCCAGTGGTACAGAAAACCTGACCTTAAAAGATTGAGAAGCTCGACCTATAACACAGCGCTTCCACGAGCTACAACGAAATTGAGAAGCTCAATCTGTATAAAGCAGCACCTCCACAAGCTACAGACTAGTACAACTACAGATTTGCTCATAGGAATAGTTTACCAAATTCTGAATTTAGCATCAGAATATTACTAGTAACAGAAAATAAAAGGAAATTGAGAACTGAGCCAATTTTGAGACACTGATGTGTTCCAATTTTTAGATCTTCATAAAGTATTCCACAACAAGAACAGAAATTACAAGATTTCACAACCTTAGAACATGAACTAATAACAGATGCAAAAGTGTAAAGAATACAAAGTGCTATCTATACAAATGCACCTAAAGATATTAAAACGAAAGAGAAGAGAGCTTACCCTTTTCCCTTCTCTTTCTCTCTATTCAGTATCTGATGGCAAATAAGATGAATGGATGGGGTCTCCAACTTCAAGCGATAAATTCTGTAACCCTGGCTTCAATTCCCTGTTGTAAAACTCCTCATACTCCACTCTATCTCCACCTTTCTTCTTCACCTCAACAACTCTTAGCGACGGCGTCAACTCAAATATCTCAGCTGCAATTGTCAATGGTCCCTTTTCACCCTCTTTAGACCCCTCTAAACTCACTCTACAATCCTTCTTCCTCACCGCAAAGCTCACAACTTTAGCAATTTCCTCCAACTTACTTATGATCTTGGGCACAGGAGCCCCGGATACAAACCTTGCCCCATCTCCTCCCTCTTCAAACAAACCAGACAAATCAAAACCACGAGAAAACGATATGATATCAAATGCATTCAAGCTAGCTGGCCTAGGCAAAGTAGCAGGCTTCCTTCTCATCTCCATTTCAGGTTCAGACTCCGATCTATCAGACGAATAATCAACCCCTCCATCATAATCATCATCATTAACACTACACAACTTGTCATCCTCAATATAAAACTTGACATATTTAAAACCCTTCTTAAACCACCTATTGTTCATAACGTCCTGAATAGTGATCCTAGTTTCAGGATTAGTATCAAGAAGCTGCCTTAAAAACCTAGTCAATTCGGGTGAAAACCATCTAGGACATCTAAATTCACCCTTATATATCTTCTTATACATAGCCATAATATTCTGATCATGAAATGGCAAATACCCTGCCATTAGCACAAAGAGTATCACCCCACATGACCAAATATCAACTTTGGCTGCATCATAACCCTTTCTTGCTAACACCTCCGGCGCCACATAAGCCGGGGTACCACAAAAAGTATGAAACAAACCATCTTGCTTTATCTGCTCTGAAATGGCACTAAGGCCAAAGTCAGAAACTTTAACATTCCCATCTTCATCTAACAGTATATTTTCAGGCTTTAGGTCCCTATGGTAAACACCACGAGCATGACAAAAAGCTACAGCAGAGATTAACTGCTGGAAATATTTTCTAGCAACTTCTTCCTTAAGCCTGCCTTTAGCAACCTTATTAAAAAGCTCACCACCTTTAACATACTCCATGACAAAGTAAATTTTGGCCTTTGTGGCCATAACTTCATACAATTGGACTATGTTTGGGTGTCTAACTCTCCTTAAAATTGAGATCTCGCGTTTTATATGATCAATAAGACCAACTTTCAAGATCTTTTCTTTATCAATCACTTTTATAGCAACGCTCTCATTTGTCTTCACATTCCTAGCATGATAAACCTTAGCAAACGTACCATGCCCTAGTAATTTCCCAATTTCATACCTACCCAATAAAAGTCCTTGATTTTCCTTTTTGCTCAGACTTTTTGTCGGCGCTAGGTTGCTTCTACTGCTGGTGCTGGTATCGCCGGCGGTAGTGGTGCCGGCCATGGATTCTCCAAACTTTAACCAAAAATGGTATACTTCAAATTTTGCCCAAAATATTATCAAATAGGGGTTTCCAAATTTGCAACAAAAGGGTAGGTCAAGATTTGCGAAAAATAGGCAAAAGATCAAAAGGGGTAGTTGAAAGTCAGCCTTAAAAATGGGTTTTTAGAGGAGTTTATGCCATTGAAATGGTGGGCTGTCGTGTAGTTGGGAGATGTTGATGTTGTTTGTGTTTTTGAGCTATATTTAGGAGGTTTGTGTAAAAGTAAGAAAAATGATTTGTGTATAGAGCTGTATGTATACTGTAATCTATTTGTTTGTTGGGTTATTTTAAAAGCTGGTAGGTGTAGGGTTGATGGGAGGTGGGGGGGTGGATTCGTATAAGGATTATTTTATATTTAATGCGTATAAGTATTATTTAACGTTCTGGGGAATCCACCAGCTGGAAATATCATGAAATTAAATTTGTCAATTGAGAAAAGGTTTTGTGTGTAAACACTACACCTGTTAAATGGGTCGACCCGACCCGGACTCGAACTCATTGACTCTTAGCCTGTGGGTCCTTAACCGGGCCGGGCCGATTTACTTTCTTATAGGGGCGGTCTGAATTTAACTCATTAATCAAAACATGTTGACCCGACCTGGACCCGTAACCCCTTAACCCCGGGCCTTAATGGGCCAAATCCAATTTAATTAAAAAAAATTAAAAACTAATAAATGATAAGAATTTCAAACTTTATATACATATATATACGAACTTGAAATTACTACATAAAGTCAATTTTAATAAAAATAAAAGAAAATTATATTTTATTATCATTAAAACTTGAGAAACATATGCAATTCGACTATTTCTATAACTAATAGTCTAAAACATATGGAATTCGACTGTTTCGACAAGACGGCTCATAGTATCTGGTACTACATTCTTTCTTCAATGTTTGGATTTACTTTTTTGCCACTTGTCTGAATATATATATGTGAGATGTCCGAGCCGGTTGACCCGTGGGTCAGCTATCGATTCGATCCGGTCCGGTTCAGTGGGTCTAAATATTATAGCCCGACATAGGCTCCTTAAATTAATGGGTTGGTCCGGTTAGGGCTTCGTGAGTCATGGGCTGATTAAAGGGCGAATTTTAATGGATTATGAGCGCCGGTTTGTGGGTCGACCCGGCCCATTTGACAGGTCTAGTAAACACTACAAAACCTTTTTAATGAAAGAAGCAGAAAGAGAAAACGACTAATAAAGGAAGACTGTTATGAAATATTATTTTGTAGTAGATGTCTATAACTCCTAAAGAAGTTACTCCCACTACTCTTCTCCATTATGTAGATAACTCCCACTACTTCTCACCATTATAGTTGTAACTCCCACACCTCCATAACCTCCCCATGATCTCAAATGTTTAATGTCATGTTTATGGCATTCTTTTGTATGCCTCTATGTAATCTTATAAATAGAGGGTTTTGGCATCACATTGTATACACTTCAATACATAGAAGAAATAAGATCCTCTCCTCTCTTCCTCTCTACATTGTTGTCTATTTTATTGTTCTATATTGTTACTTTGAATTAAGTTTCGTAACACGTTATCAGCACGAGTCTCTAACCAAGATTTGAGTTTGGTTCTTGTTCCGCCCATGTTCTGATTAGTCTCATTACGAGAATCAGAAAAGAATAACTACTATAACTAGTAAGTACAAAAGCAGGTAAGTGTGAGGTTGGACTTGAAAGAGAGTCTGCTATGCTCCAGGTTTACTGCTCCATTACTTATGTTATGTTTTTAAGTCTTTTGAGTTGACAATTTAACTTCCCAATAATTTCCATTCTTGACCTTGTCTAAATTATTAAAGTTTACAAAATCGAATAGGTAATTGAATTTTTTTCAGTATGAGTTTGTGTCAGTTACATGAATTCTTCGGGTTATGGCTTATGTTATGCTAGTAATAGTTCCTCCACTGCATCTAGTATTTTTATTACAAAGAAAAGGATATCGGTAATTATAATTTTAATAAATATGTGACCCACCACTCAATGGCCCCTATAATTGTGTGCACTTTTACTTGTAAGTGGCCTAGCCTGATAACTTTGAGCTAACTGGATAATATAAAAAGTGATTATTCTGAGGTTATATTTGTGTGCTTATTTTTTGTTGTTAGTGATATTGATAATAGTAACAAAGTTTGAGTTATTAGTACCGATGAAATTTTTCTCACACTTTTGAAGTAATCATGAATTGTATAACTTACATATTGTTGTCATTTTTTAATATAATATACTGTGAACTAAATTTTTTCAGAGTCTTGTAAGATAGTTGATCTAATTTATATCTTAAAGAAGTCAAAATTACATGCGATGAGTTCATAAATTGATGAAGTACTAATGTTTATAAAATTGTTATAACAGAATGGTTTTATGCATAACCATTATATGTGGCCCTGTGGGTAAGTGATTTAGAGTACCGAGGATGAGCCTCAATTGTATTTTGGTCTATTATGCTATTGATTGAGGGTAAGACGGTGGGTTCAAGTCTCATCGTACCTTGAGGGTAAGACACTGGGTTTATGTCCTAGTGCACCATGATAATAAGTAGTTGGGTTCGAGTCCCAATGCATTATGTCCTAACATGCCTTTATATGGATAAGGCATTGGGTTTGAGTCCCAATGCACCATATTGATGATATAATGATGACTAAAGAAAAATAATGTATTTTTCATGAAAAAGCATAAAGTTTGTCCCACTTGATTTGCTCCATTCTTGAAGTGAATATGAAAACGGTGCATAATAAGTCTAAATAAAGACAAGTGGTTGACCAATGAACGTGGGCGTGCCAAAGATCAAATAATAACAGTCATCATTATGGTAATTGTAAAAAGGAGAACGATAAGGGTTCTCAAAATGGTCCTTCAAAGGTGAAGGAATATGTATCAATGTGGTCTGTTAATACGAGATACGTTCATATGATTATAGTCCATTCGTTGAAAATGTGACTTGTGATAAGCATTGTAAATGCAGGCTCATCCTGAAAGTAAATGCTGAAATATATATATGATAAAAATTATGCATAAGAATGTGTTTATGCATGGTTGGATAAATACCACAACTCACCTCTAAGAGAGGTTTGAGAAAAATAAAGATAATGAATATTACAATATGGTTACATGAATATGTCATTGGTCGCGTACACGTGGTACGCCAAAAATATTTTACCATGCCTTATAAAAAGTTATTAAAGGTAAAAGTAAAGCAAGAAATGAGTCTTGTCTATAATGTTTTTGATTGTGACAATGATAAGATAATTTTTTCCGTGGAGGAAAAATTCACCACTTGGATAGTGGTATAAAAGATCTTGTAGTACAAAATTATTGAGAGCTCCGAAAGAGCGAATTTGTTACTACCGGAATAAATAAAACTATTCATGGCATTGGTGGTAGTAAGTCTCAAAAAGGAACTTTTTGAGTTTCAAATATATTAGCCAAGTGGTTGGCATATTGAGACTATAAATGAAAGGAAGATTGAATATCTTCATATTACTATATTCATACCGGGTAAATATGAAAGGTTACCCGATTTTTCTTCTATTTGTACTACAAATGTATAAGCATCGTGATGGAATCACATGCCATAAGTAAACTAGAGGTTTATTGAAACAAATATTAGTTGGCATGATCGGTTGACCATCCCGGTTCAATTATGATGTGAAAATTGATTGAGAATTCACATTGGCGTATATTAAAGAAATAGAAGATTCTTTAAGAATTCTCTTGTGATGTTTTTTTCTCATGATATACCAGTTAAGGTTGGGATTGAATCCCTTGATATGTGGAACGAATAAAAGGTAATATATATGTATGGGCCCAATCACCTGCCATGTGGATCGTTTACTATTATATGATTTTAATAGGTGCATCTATTGTATGGTCACATGTGCGTTTGTTATCAACTTGCACTTTGATTTTTGCAAGGTTGCTCAAATTATTAGAGCACATTTCCAGAATATATATTATGATAATTTATCTTGATAATGCTGGTTTAAATCCAAGTTGGTTTAGCAGAAATTGTATGCCTCCAATTATAGCTAAACCATTGGTTATGAGAACAAAACTCCAAATAGAAATTTTGTATTAAGTATATTATTTAATATACAACAACACTTGTACGCATCTAGCCAACAAGTTATGATAAATTCTCCCCATCACAATTGGTTCAGGGTCAGGAACCAAATATTTTCATCTAGAAATATGGATGTACTATATGATTTAATTGTGCCACCACAATGCACAAAGATTGGTCTCAATGAAGGTTGGGGATATGTGTTGGTGATCCCAACATTAGGGGGAGAAAATGAGCAACTGAAAAAAAAGTAATACATGGAATGAATTATTATGAGTATATTAGATCCTCGTATAAGAAAATATGAACTTGAAGTTCAAGTGATAATTCATTTGCAAAATATTTCCATGCGCATTTGCTGACCCAAACTAAATGTCATATTTCAGCTACTAATGCTCCAAATAGAATAAAGTCCATGATGGACATAGTCTATGGAACTCTTGAAGCGTAATAGACTAATCGGTTCCAAAGATAAAACTCCTTGAAGAAGGAGAGGAGCAAATGTTCAAGATGGTCATAATAAGGAGGCAAGTGCTTTATAAGAGCACCATGACATAACATTTTATAAGACCTCATGGGAGAGGCTCAGGTACCTAAAAATAATGAGATCTCGATAAGTTATGTCTTTATTATGCGATGATGGAACCGATATAAAATGATCGTTGACGATGTTGTTAATATAATGTGGCGCTCAATATTATTAATATTGACGAGGATCTTGAGCTCAAATCTGTCATGGAATTTGGACAAATAAATGATTGGCCAAATGAAAAATATGCAATGAAATTGACTTCACCTGAAAAATGTGAAGTTGGACGGATAGTCCCCACACCTGAAAGTGAAATGAAAAATCAAGTCGATAGACATAAAGACGACTTGTGGCACAAAATTTTCGTAAATATCCTGGTATTAGGAGACATGTTCTCCTGTGGGGGGTCTGACAATACATTTGATATGCATATAATGAATATCCTTGAATGATTTAAATTGTTCTGAAGCATATTAAAGTTCCCAAGAAATTTATTAAATAAATCTTCGGCAGATCCTTATGTAGATTAGAGCGTTCATTGCGTACATGATTTATTTTTGTGTCTAGTGCAATTGGTGCACTAATATATCTGGCTAGAACCATGAGTATAACAATATGCTAGCAAGATATAGTTTTATTTCAATGTGGAGATATTGGAATA